GGGGCCAGTCAGAGGTGGTATTTACCAGTTTTCCGAACTACTCAAAATTTCTGCTATCAGTTCTCCAGAATGTACTAATTTTCATAGGCAAAAACAATCTATAGCAGATTTAAAAAGCTCTTGCAAACTTGTAATAAATCAGTACAGTACTTGCAAACTTGTAATTATGAATTTGAGGCCTTGAATGTTCCTGGCATAACATATACTGCACTAAGAAACCCGGTGTGGTGTAATGGTTAAAGTGCTGGTCTAGAAGCAGGGAGTACCAGTCCTTCTCCATACACAGAGGTCCAGTGGGTGGCTTGGGTCCGTCACTCCCTCTCAGCTGTAATAAATTTCGGATTCTGCATTGAGCCAGCTGAAAAACAAACTCCCTTGTTGCATCATGTATTGGTAGCTTTGGTTGCTGTAAGAAATAGGTGAGCATAGTTCAAAAACAAGCAGACTATGAAATCTTTAGGGACAAACACTAAGAATTGCAACAACAACTTGTAATATCCAGTACAGTCTTTTCAAGGCTAAGAACAAGTCCTTGATTGTGTTTTTTTAAAAGGATTGAAATGTTTTCATTGGAAACTAAGAGATAATTTATCTTGTCTCAAGCTCTTGTGATTTAGTAAATAATACTGACTGCCATAATCAATCTTAAAAGCTCCAAATGTCAGAACATTTGTTATTTGGTGCAGAAATGTTGTTAGTTCCATATGATTGCATTTAAAAACTCGTAATTCCGTTGTTTTCTACAATTCAATTGTCTGAAGAATTTTTCAGTTGGTAATTTTAAAGACATTAAAATTAAAAAACAATTTCTTCCTCTTAAAAAGATAAACTTTCGAACGAAATTGAAGATAAGGACAATATTAATTGGAAAAGATGTAATTGCTGAATTTCGTTAATTCAGATTGGCTTTATGTTTCAATATCAAAAATATCATTGTAATTTTACTGAATAGTTTCTTATAAATAAAAATAATTATACTGTACAGGTAGTTCTTGACTTACAACCACAATTGAGGCCAAAATTTCCATTGCTAAGCAAGACAATTAAGTTAATTTTGTTCCATTTTATGATCTTTCTTACCACAGTTGTTAAGTGAATCACTGAAGATGTTAAGTTAGTAACATAATAATTAAGTGGATTTGGTTTCCCCATTCACTTCGCTTGTCAGAAGTTCACAAAAGATGATCACATCACCCTGGGACTGCAGCCATCATAAATGCATTCCAGTTGCCAAGAATCTAAAATTTGATTGTGGGGGGTGCTGCAATGATTATAAGTGTGATTTTTCAGTGACATTGAACCGTCACTAAATGAATAATTGTAAATCAAGGACTATCTGTTGTGCAACGTACCAAAGAACTGTACTTTATTTAAGCATTATTTTATTGGTCTGTCTGTAGATATTGCAAAATTAATGAAAATGCTCAACATTGCATACTTAGCAGCATTCTTAAGATATGTTAATTAGTAAAAAATATATCAGTTACAAGCGGCAATATACCATAACCATGTGGTTTTCAAGAAGAGGTTATATTTCTCCTCTTCTGTTTTAGTTACATGACAGCTCATACTGACACCGAAGGAGAATCTGAGGAAGAAAAAGGACGGATCAATTCCTCTGTATCTTCTTTGACACCAGAAGGGAAAATAGACTTGTCTAATCTCCTGCAGGAGGTGGACAGAATGCATGGTGGCTCGGAACATGAGAAAAGAGAAAGCTTCAAACTATTGCTTGAAAGAGAAGAAAAGGTATGGTCAATAATTCAGTGCTTTTTATGATATACTTTTAAAAGTTTTAGTGATGTCAAAGACACATTTGAGTAGATTGGTTTTAAGGGGAAAAATTTCATTACTTAAAAATGACCCTTTGATTAACATTCCCAAATATTTGCTGAGAGTGGGATCCCCATATAAGTGGTTATGGTTATTCAGTGCAGATGGGAAATAGCACTTAGCAATAGCACTTAGTCTTAGGTACCGCTTCACAGTTATTTAGAGCCCTCTCTAAGCAGTTTATGAAGTCAGCGTATTGCCCTCAACAATCAACAATCTGGGTTCTCGTTTTACCATTTCTGGGTCCTCAGAAAGATGGAAGGCTGAATCAATCTTGAGCCAGTGAGACTCAAACTGTCAAGAGTCAGCAGAATTAGCCTGCAATACTACATTCTAACCTCTGCACCACATCCATTATCAGGTTCCACCTCTCCTTGTTTCCCTTTTCTGATTGCCAACAGAGAAGCATTAAGTTTGTGATTTATATGAGAATCAATGGGGCGTTTACTGTGGGATTAGAAAGATTAGAAAGAAGGCAGAACATAGAATTATAGGATTGGAAGAGATCTCGGAAGTCTTCTAGCCAACTCCCTGCTCGAACAGGAGACCTTATATCATTTCAGATAAATCTCCTTCAGTTATGGAGCACCCACAGCTTCTGAAGGCAAGTTATTCCATTGGTTAATTGCTTTCACCATTAGGCAATTTCTCCTTAGTTCTAGGCTGCCTCTCTCCTTGGTTCATTTCCAATCATGGATGGAGGGGTTCCAGCAATAACCAAGGACTTCCCATTTTGTTTCCAGAATACAATAAGGAATTGAGTACAGGAACAAAAGATGGCAAGGTTGCTAGGTTGCTTCTCTTATTATGCTAAAATGAAAATGATGGGAGGGAGCCAGCACTGCATTATATATGATGCCTGTGCTCCTTCTAAGGAAATATAAACGATGCTTTCTTCGGAGGCAGCCCCCTTGCATAGGAAAGAAAGAAAGAGAGAGAGGGGGGAGAGAGGGAGAGGGGGGAAAGAAAGAAAGAAGTGGCTCAGGTGATAAAAGAGTCTTTAATGCATAGGAGAGATGTTGGTTTGCATTTTGCCAATGGCTGTTGCTAAATGTACCCACCATGGACACCGGTTTGTATAAAACCCCATAGCATGTTTTCAACAAATGTTGGGGTCTGCTGAACTGAATGAAGGAATGAATTTCAATGGTTAGATAAACGCATTTGAAAGATCAAAATAAGCTACCGTATATTAGTTCGGTTTGCAGAAAGGAAAAAAAATATGTTACTGCTTCCATGTCACTATCTATAGAAAACTGGCAGGCCATACAGCAAAAAAAAAAGTTACTTTCCTGCAGACATTTTAAAACATATATGTATTAAATTCTGGATCCTATTATTTGCTGCAACAGAAACTCTGGAAAAAGTTGTTTTTTGGCATAGGGTCATTTATTTGCCTCCACAAGTTGTGAATGCTCCAACACTGGAAGTTTTTAAGAAGATGTTGGATAACCATTTGACTGAAGTGGTGTAGGGTTCCTGCCTAAGCAGGGGGTTGGACTAGAAGACCTCCAAGGTCCCTTCCAACTCTGTTATTCTATGCTATTCTTCTTCTATTTGGAGTTACCGATCTGGCAGAATAAGTGCACTCTGAGCCTCCGCAATTAAACGGTGTCATCTTTTGAGACCCAGGAAGGGTACAATGTCTGTGGTGGCACCTTCTCTTTCGAATTAGGGCCCCCATGAGATCCATACAGCCCCCATTCTAACGGTATCCAGAAGGCCTTGAAAACCTGCCTGTTCTCCCAGATATTGGCCTAGGGTGGATGGAGTTCCCCCTGTTTTTTTATTAGTTGTCTGGATTGCTGTCTTGCAATTATCTTGCAATTCGTTTTGGCCTAATTTATTGCATTTCATTGTTTTAAGTTGTGCTTAGTTCTGTGAGAAGCACAGAATTTGTTGGAGTCCGGCAGCTTCAAAAGTATAGTAAATAAACCAAGCACAACACAATAATGCATGAACCCAATGAATTTAAAATACAAAACAACGTACTCACTTACAGAATAGCACATGGGGATTGGGGGAACATGCATTTTAAATATGTCAAAATATCTCTGCAATAAAGCCAATCTAATGCATCTCTTTTCTTTTCAAGCAGTATAGAAACCATCCTGGTTTTCTTTGGAGACTTGTCCGAGCTTACGGGGACATGTTTGAGTTAACTACAGATGCTGAGGAGAAAAAGAATTATGCTGCTGAAGGTTGGCTGTTCAAATAGATTTTAATGGAAATTTGTTCAAAGTAGAAATATATCAGGAATGCTGTTTTTTTATTGCTTCTGCTAAAAATAAGATGGGGCTCATTTAGGCGACCGAGGCAGAGAAATAACTTTGGTAACAATCCTGCTGAGAATTAATCTGATTCCCTCTTTACTTTTCTTTGCTTGTACCAGGGCAGCCTCACACCAAGAAAGATGGTGAGAATATTTAGCTAAGCAAGTATATTAGTGGAATTTCAGAGAAGGAGCACTTCTGCCCTTGTTCAGTTTTAAATATACAGGGAATGCTAGGGGAACGGCTTCAGGTTTTATTCTGATTCAGGTTCTTCTTAATTATACCAAAACATGCATTTGTAGGTTTTAAAACATTAATTGCAAAGCTGAATATGTTTGTTTGTTTATTTATTTGATGTACAGTACATCTTTCACCTGAGAATTGAAGGCAACATGCCTTTTCCAACTTTCTCATAAAAGCAGCCATAGGAACAAGGTTATGCTGAGAGACAGTAGCTCTACATAACCTTCAACATCTGGGCAGGACTTGGACCTGGATGTCCCTGTCTAATTCAGCACTTAACCACTACACTACATTGGTTTTATCCTAGATGTGTGTCCTACTGAATTAAATTAATCTGGAGCCAAATAAGATAAATTCCCAATTTAATGTCACAGTCAATATATAATTATATTTATTGTTGAGTGAATGGAGCATGATCTAATATTACTTTATGTATATAGCTAAAATCTGTAAAATGCACCTTTTTCAGGAAAAATTGTTGGAGAGAATGCAGTTAACTTAGATCCATCAAATGCTGAGAGTCATCAGTGGTAAGTTTGAATAGTGGAGATTTTACCACATCTTTGATCCGATTTCTAAAATTTTCAATCGTGAAATGCCTAAAACAGACAAACTGTTTTAATAAATGCATTCAGAGACTCTTCAACTTACAACCACAATTAAACCAAATGTTCTGTTGCTAAGCAACAGTAAGTATGAAGAATGGTCGTAAGTCTCTTCTTTCAGTACTGTAACTTCGAACAGTCACTAAACAAATGGTTGTAAGTCGAGGACTACCTGTATTCACAGGTTCAGTCCTTGACATCTTCTTATAGTAGATCTGGGAAAGTTATCCTAGATGTAGCCATTCTACATCTCTTTTATGATTGGTCAGTTTGGCTCATCATTATTATTATTTTTTGTGCTAGATTGCCAGCTACTATTGAGGATTATTGATAGGAGTCTTTCTCAAACAAGGGAAAATAATCCTTCCTTTAAGTTGAGTTCGATTCGTGGTGACACTATGGCAAATATTTATTGTTTTATTGCCACTAGTATGAAAATAGCTCACCAATGCCACCTTGTAGAATAGCATTTCTTATGGCATACTTCCAGGGAAAAAATAAATGCAAACGAGGTCCAGGCAGAAGGAGAATATCATGGCTTCAAAACCTAAGGGAGTGGTTTGGACAAAACTCGTCAGCACTTTTTCATGCTGCTGTTGACAAAAATAAGATTGCCAACATGATTGCCTAAGTCCAATGATGGGTATGGCACAAGAAGAAGAAGGCAACTTTTTAAGATGTGTGAACTTCAGGCCCTAGATGTTGAAGTTCACACATCTTAAAATTGCCACAATTGAGAAACACTCTTCTAGGATATTTCCAGTCTAGTCATCAGCCCTGCTTTTCCCAAGTGGATTTCCATTGAAATCCTAACCAGGTTTGATCCTGTTTAACATCCACATTAAAATAAGATAGTTCAGATACGATCATCTTCTGAACATCTCTATAATTATTGCTTTTTTGAACCCTGGCCATTAGATGGAGCCATTGGATTCTCTATTTTTCTAATTTCCTAACTGTATGATAAATTCTCATTCTTCATTCAGAATCTTTCGAAGTTACTGAATTATTTTACAATTCACCAAGGCTGTAGATTTTCTGTCTCAGAAGATTTGCTGTTTTAAGACTTTAGCTCATATTTAACTCATATTCTGAACCACTTTTATGATTTGTGTTGACTTTTCTCTCTCATATTTTATATGTACAATATTATAGGAAAAATAACTGTGACACCCTCAATATTACATATAGTAAAAACCAGCTCAGCTTTTCTTGCTTGGAACCCTCCAAATGCTGGGAAAATGACTTTAGTCTCAGTACATGCTAAGGTCATTAAACGGAGTGAGGCTTGGCTCACCTCTTTAAAAGCCATGGCTCACCTCACATTTTGAGATGTTTGCAGAGGTTCTTAATCCCCTGGGTCATAATTGCCTCAAAGTGCTTTCCTCTAAGGCATCTGGACTTTATTGGGTTTTTTTATTGGGCATCTGGACTTTATTGGGTTTTTTCCCTTGAAAATGTTTTGCTTCCTGTCCAAAAAGCTTCTTCAGTTCTGAAGAACTGAAATAATTTTGCTCATTTTTCTGTCCTTTATAAATGTATTTTTATTTCCCTTTTTAGCCAAAGTATGGTAATGAGGTAAACTAAGATTCATCCAGCTATTCAAATGAAAAAAAAAATGATGGTAGACACTTTTATGACTTCTTCCCATAATGTTGCAACTTTGGCCATCTGGTTCCCTCTCCCCCCCCCTCCCGGTTTCCATTAACATATTTTTTTTCTATCCTATTCTATCTAACCTATCTTCTTCCCAAGGTAGATCTTTTCCTTTCTCTAAGTGCAATTGAAATGTTTAAAAACATAAAGAGCCTCCACTGTGTAAAATGTAAGAACCCAAGGATCAGTGGAGCTTCCCATAGGAAGCTTTATCCATATTTTGTGAGATGCATTGGGTTTGCTCTCAATAAAAGCCGATATTGCAACAGGAACAGTAATAACAGAGTTAGGAGGAACCCTAGAGATCAAATAGTGCAACTCCCTGCTCAAGCAAGAGACCTGTACCATTTAGGACAAATGGCTGTCCAATGTCTTGCTCAGGTTTTTATAGGCATATTGCTCTTAAGTGTCTGGGTTTCTGTTTGGACAAAGTGGTTTATGTAAACTTTTGGATAAGTATTTATTTTCACTAAGAATTTGAGGAGCTGTGAGAATTGATTTCTCATTTGTATATTCTAGTTGAAGCAATCAGAAGCTTAGGGCAACACCTAGATCCTTATCTTGGTATAACAGGTTGAAACCAGATCACAAAAGAGCTTGTATTTAGTTAATGTTTTCAGTTGCACATTATGCCCTCAATAGTAGCAGTAGATATCCATGAATTCCTGTTGTACAAAGACTCCATCCTTCACAGATTGCAGGGTTATTCTATCATCTTTTATATTGCCCATTATATTTATCTATTTGTGAGAAACATTGAAAGCTGTGAATTATTTCTCAGTTCAGTTGTGAGGAAAAATAAATACATTTTCCTCTTTCTGATTTTAATAAAGGAAACAGTTACCCTATCTGTACTAGCTATGCAAAAAAAAAAAAAAAATCTAGATCATCCAGAAATTAAGTTATAATAAGTGCTGGGTTAATGCTGAGTTAAGATCTCCTTTTTAAATTGTGTTTAAAGTTGTTCTACTGTTATAGACATAATCCTTGTAGCTAAACATGTTTAATAAATAAATGAACATGAAACATGCAAAATATCAAAGAGGGAATCCAGGATTAAATTCAGTAGAATCAGTAAGACTTAGGGTTTTATGAAATGAAAACTGTCCAATTTTCAGAATAACAGAGTTGGACATCTTCTAGTCCAGTGATGGCGAACCTATGACACGCGTGTCA